GTTTGACTCACAAGCAGTAAAATAAAGCAGGGAGAGAGAAGTTTTGAGAATATTTTCCATATCTTGCAGAAAATCTTGATTGTGTTCAAGAAAAAGTGATTAAACTGTGACTCTTTTTACTATAGATTAAACCTTTCCTAGTTCGACGCACTCTGGTCTGGCCACATCTATGATCTTGCGTGGTTTTAGTTAGCCAGATGTTCTCTTGAGGGCCAAGTTTTCTGCACTGTTCCCCGACCCCTGTCCATGCCTCTTACTGCCGCAAGCTCGGACCACAGGTTGGACATCTCTTATCTGGCACCCTCAGGACCTGACCGTCCCAAACCAGGGAATTTAGCCAGATTAAAGAAGGTTTCCTGCCGCAGCCTCCAGCAGCTGACTTCCAGTTGTGTATGTGTATGTGGGTGGGGGAGAGGAACGACTGCTTCCAGCCCCTGTTGAGTTGATGACCCGGCTTCAGCTGCCCTGGCCAGTATGCCTCCTGGGCTCCAGCAGCCCGGGCTGCTGGGGGCTGGCTGTGGCCCAGGTTGTGCTGTCAGGGGCTCTGGTCTCAGCCCTGCAGCAGCCTTCAGGCTCTAGTCCAGCTTCTGCCAGAGCTGCGGGCTCCCAGCCCCACTCTGCTGTGTCTTGCTGGGGCTGCCGCCAGCTCCAGCCCTAATCCTGCTGCTGCGGGCTGCTGATAGGCTCTGACTCCACTTCCACGGCCTCCCTGGGGCCCAGATCCTGCGCTGCTGGGGGCTGCCTCGACCCGGTTGCAGTGCTACAGGCTGTCAGGAGCTGCCAGGGGCTGCTGCCAGCTACAGTCTCTTCCCAGTCCCACTGAGTCAGCCCGGCCCCTCCTGGATTGCCCTCCTAACACTAGGCTACCAGGATTCTCTGATCAAAGAACATCCGTGGTCCTGCTGGACCAGAGAATTCCGCTTTTGGGAAGTGCAACCTATGTGGTAGGAGGTGTTTGTGGAGCTCCAGGCCAAGGATGGGGGGGCCCCCAGGATGTGGTTTGATCTCCTGTGGCCAGGCAAATTCTTTAGTTCAGCAGTGGTCAGGTCCCGGGAGTGCCGGACTACAGAGGTTCTACCTGTACTGTTATATAATAAATGTTATCCTTGTATTGATAGAGGTAGAAACTGAGGAGTGGGAAGGTGCCAGTTACTCTAAGATCAAGAAGCAATGCAAAGGCAGAATAAAAACTAAAGGCAGCATGTCCTGACTCTCAACCCTATGCTCTAACAAGACACCAGTTCTCTTTGAATGCATTAGTGTGTATCTAGTCTTAATTATACCATACTAACTTCATTTTTTCTTTCTTAGGCTTTATGCAAGGACAATATCTATCCAGGTCTTCTAATGTTTGCAAAAGGCTATGGGAAGAACAACGAACCATTACGAGGATATATTCTTACATTTTTGATTGCTCTTGGATTCATTTTAATTGGTTAGTTAGTTTAAATTGGAGTAAAATTGGTGAATGTATTCTTACGTTACAAAACACTGTACTGTTTTATGCTTGGATGACAATGTCCATGGAATCTGGGGCTAGATTTTTATTTTAAAAGTTTTGGGTGTTTGCTTCTATTTGGAAATCTGTTCAGTGAATAGGGTTTAAGGATTGTTCTCCCACATCTTCAGAGGTTACTTCAGATTCATCTCAGCCACTACTAGTCTACATTAACCGCCTGTTCTCTACAGTCATTAGCTAATAAGACTTTCTTTTAGTCCTTTACCAACCCTATTATATTGTCTTATTCATTAGCTTATTGTAGAGAGCTGTTGTGTGATGGGAAAGCCTTTTTTGTTTACATTTTTAAATATATACTACAGGCTGCACCTCCCTGGTACAGCACCCTCAGGACCTGATCAGTCTCAAATGAGGGAATTTGACAGACCAAGGGAGGTCTCTCCCCTCATGACCCGTGTTGCCCCTCTGCTCCTGATTAGGGCTCCAGCATGACTCCAGAACCCCTGCCATCTGCCTGGCTGAGGCTTCCCCAGCGCTGGAGCTCTCTAGCTGCCACGGGCCTGACTGCTGCTGGGACTGCAACTCCCAGGGCGGGGACTAGAGCTCTCTGCTGCTGAAGTGCCATAGCTGGAGCTCCGCCATTGGAGTCAGAACTCTCTGCCGTCCTCCCCCCTCCCCTCCCCCCCTGCATGGGGCTCCCAGCTGAGTCACTGGCCCCTCTGCTGCACTCCTGCCCCGCTCCAGGGTCTGTGGTCCTGCTTGGACCATGGATGTTGCCGGACCAGAGTCTCCTGGTTTAGGGAGGTACAACCTGTATATACAGTAAAACCTGTATTATCTGGCACGCTCGGGGATTAGGGTGTTCCAGTTATCAGAGTCCCATTAACATAGGAAAAACCAATGGGCGATAATAGTAAAACTCAGGTTTTTAATATTGATAGTTTTGTAGTGTGAGGCAGTTGGTCTCACATTCCTATTTTGAGTTAAAGAAAATTTTTTATTTAAAAAGAGCTAATCAAGCCAATCATGGTAAACCAAGCCAGGCCAGTGCGCCTGAAGATGTGATAGTACTGTGGCTGGGGACAATGATGGTTAACAGAGTGCCGGATAACAAAGGTTTCACTGTACTAAATCCTACATTAGTGAGGTTTTATTAAGTGGTAAGCTTGCACAGATTGGATTTCAGAGTTTTCTAACCAATTCACCACTGTTATGCAAGATTCTCCTGAAGTTGCCACAGGGCATAATATATTCTTTGCCGGCAGATAGCTCTTCCCCATCATCTTCAGGCCCCTTTCAAGACTGCTTATGTTTAAAAATTGTTGTTTTAATTTTATTTCTTCCTCATCTTGCTTACTCTGCATTTTTTTGAGGGTTCGTGGGGCAGGAAAGACCAAAACCAAGGACGTGTTCTGGAGATTTCATTAGAATGAAGAGGGTCCTAGTGGACTAATGTGGCATGTTCTTGACTTGTATCTTTGATTTTAGTCCTTTGTTCTGGTGGCAAATGACTAGTAATGGTGGCTACTATTGCTGCTCTGTGTCCAGGTGAAAAGGAGAGCCCCACTATTTTCCACTTCCTATTGCGTTTAGGAAGGAAAAGGGGAGATGAGGAGTGAGTTTCTTCCTTGCAGAGGTGTGCAAAGGTTGCACCCCTCTCTGTTTGTAGTCGGACTGAGACTAGTTGCGGAGAGCCTAAGTGATGCTTCTCATATTCCATACCCATACTTGAATCTTCCAAGACCCTCTTTGCTCTGGGGATGTCCTCAAGTGCTACAGAATAATTGCCCGATGCGCCATTAAAGGTTACATCCATAAGACATAACAACAAATGTTTGGCCCTGGAATTATTAAAGCAGTTTGACAATAAGCTTAATAACTTTGTTTTTTCTTTGTTTTTACAGCTGAATTGAATGTCATTGCTCCAATAATCTCCAACTTTTTCTTGGCTTCATATGCCTTAATTAATTTCTCTGTATTCCATGCCTCTCTTGCAAAATCTCCAGGTAGGAATTTTATATTTGGGGATTGAATACATTTTAAAAGTGCTCTAGAAACAAAGTATTTTTGCATAAAAATTATGAATTCAACTAATTGCAGAATGTAATAAAAGAAGTTTAGAAAAATTACTAGACAAGTGGAATCAAACCCCTACATAAGGCTTGACACTACAGTAGCTTCTTAGGTAATAGGACAGCCATGGCCAACCCGTGGCTTGTGAGCTGCATGTGGCTCTTCCCCCCCTCCCCAGGCTGCAACAACTGCACCCCTGGAAATGGCTCCTGGCTCCCTGTGCTCTCTGGGGCAGGAGAGCCATCTGGCATCCTCAAGATGGTGTTGGCCGGCGGGAGCCTGATGTGGCCAAAAAGCCTCTAAATGGCAGACCCTTTTGTCGGGGGGGGGGGGGACCAAAACAAAAAAACCAAACTTTCCTCCTCTGGCTCTTTGCACTATATTCACAACTATTTTGGCTCTTCCTGTAATGGGTTGGCCACCCCTGTAATAGGAGGTTTGTAGTTGTTGCTGTCACAGCCTGGGGATCTGTTTGTAGAGTCTACTTGCCCACCAAGAAAAAAATTGCTTTTAGTGTTTTCTGTGTCCTAGGGCTTAAAATTTGATGACCCCAGTTTCAAGGAACAGGGTGGTTATGCTTAAATTTTTCATTTTTGTCAGTAAACAAAAGTACTGTTATGCCTATAAAAGAATTTTGTTCAAGAATAATAGAAATTTGTACTATTTCAGTCCTTAGCTTACTGAGTTTAGGTTGGAAACCTTTTTAAAGTGTCATCTTCACTCTGTTTGTCTGGGGCCAAACTTGCAAAGGTTCAATAAGTTGCCGTCCATTTCTGTTTGGGCAATCTTGTACATTTGTTTTATTCTTTTGCTTATACACTCAGGGATAAAATTAGTAAGTTGAGAGCCTACATGTATGAGTAAATCCTATTTCTATTTATAGTTGAACTTTCTAAATGATATATGTAAATAAGCATCCATATTTTGAGTTTTAGGTCAACCTGTATGGGTATATTTACTTCTGAATAGTGTATGTGTGTCGATCATAATGATGATGCATATTTGCAGATTAGCTATATTTAGCAGCTAATTCTTGACAAAATTAGATTTTTATGTTTTCATAATGTAAATGGATAAAATCAGTGCTTATTTTTAAGCATATTTTTATATTTGTTAACGTTTCAATTGTGCAAAATCATGAGTTTTAAGCATTTTTAATCGATTCAGATTTTCATAGGTCTGGGAAACTATGGAGGGAAGATCAATCTGTTAATGATAATAGACACAGATTTTTAAAAAAGCAAAGCATTTGTGTTTTAATGCTTACAATGGTCAATATAATGTAAAATACACAAAGTAAATATCCTTCAGTCAAACTTTTAAGTACTCAAGCAGTGTTTATTTGTACATTTTGATTATCGAAGGAAATATTTTTGTGGGTTTGTGTGTACAGTAAAATATATATTGATGTCTACTGATTTTTAAAAATCTAATATTTCCAAACCTAAATATACACTGTTGTCTTTCTCAGAGCATTAGAGGGTAGCCGAGTTAGTCTGTTAGGGTATGTCTATACTACAGAGTTAGTTCGAACTAACGGACGTTAGTTCGAACTAACTTTCATAGGCGCTACACTAGCAAACCTAAATATACACTGTTGTCTTTCTCAGAGCATTAGAGGGTAGCCGAGTTAGTCTGTTAGGGTATGTCTATACTACAGAGTTAGTTCGAACTAACGGACGTTAGTTCGAACTAACTTTCATAGGCGCTACACTAGCGCTCCGCTAGTTCGAATTTAATTCGAACTAGCGGAGCGCTTAGTTCGAACTAGGTAAACCTCATTTTACGAGGATTAAGCCTAGTTCGAACTAGCTAGTT